TCGCTCAACTTCGAGACCCGCAGGTGTATTAGCACGCTCAGGCCTATGGGGAGCTCTCTGGTGGAGACTTCACTCCATTCAGGTGGGCTCTCCCTTGCCTACCTAAGGAGCGTTTTTCCTTTGGGGGAGTTTTTGTTTTGCCTATTACACTTTACATAAGTGTTTAGTAGAGTATTCGTTCTTCCTGAAACATTATATTAAAAACTTGACATCAAAATAAGTAAAATTAAATAGACTTGAGTATTGATTTGATCTTAGGGTGGTAACTTTCTAAGCCTTAAGACCATGGACAGAAAAAATTACATAGGAAAAACATGACACAAATCTGATGATATCCACTTTTAAAACTCAACATCCTATGTAAGAAAAGGGTAATATGCAATGGAGGACCCACCAGGAACAACAGGTCTCTATGATGCATCACTGTGAGAGTGATGTCTGAATGCTGGTTTAAGCCGGATCCCACAGAGGGTCTAAACTGGCATTCGGACAACCCCCAGATTGGAGAGGGTGCAGGCCGGGCTGAGGGCCCCGCTCCTGCACGATTTTTGTGCACCAGGCCTCTAGTATAACAGTAAAAATGAAAATACTTAATAGGCAGTCAGAAGGAGAAAGCATTCTGAGTTAGATGTGATGACAGAGAAGCACATAGCTATAGCACTTAACAAAGTTCACGCAAAGCAGGCACTTGGCACAGCCATCAATTAACACATTAAGTGCCCAGCCTGTTTTGTCTTCCAGACAGAAAGAATAGCGTCAGTCACCAGTGATCAACATGGCACTTAACGTGTTAACATTTGCTGATTTAAAAACCCCATGATAAATGGGCAAAGGCTATGCAGAGACCACTCACAGGCAAGCAGATTAAAAAGCAAATGCTAGGAAGAAGAAGCAAGCATTTAAAAGGAATGTGAACAAATTATGCTGTGCCCACTAAATTGGTAAAGAAAAAAAAGTAAAATAGATTGTGAGAGAGAGAAAAAATGCATGAACTTTAGTAACTAGTATGGAGTACAAATCCATGGGACAGTCTTTTCTGGAAAGCAATATGGCAACCATTATTAAGATTCCTAAACGGGCTCTGATCTCTCAGCCCAGGAACCCTACCCCAGGGGACTGGCACTAAAGGAATAACCCAGCCAAAGACACAGAATAGTAAGCAACTCCAATGGGCCAAGCAGAGCAGGTGGGCTGTTCCCCTTGGTGTCTGTGAACTCATTCCCGTGTCCGGCTTTTCCTTTAATCCCTGACATAATTCCTGCCCTAGGCCAGCTGTGATTGACAGCGTTCCCTCGCTGCCAGGCACGGGGCCCAGCACTTCATGTGCAGCATCTCGTAAACGCTCCCCGCTCCGGGCCACCTCCAGGCTGGTGCCAGGGAGGGGAACTAGAGCTGGATCTTTCACTGTAAGGGAACAGAGCGTCCCATGGGTCCCAGCCAGGAGCCAGGTGCCGCTCCAGGGCAGCCCTGGCACACGGGAACAGCCTGGACTCTGACTTCAGCCCTTGACGTTGGCTCAGTGGCGTGGGGTTTTGTGAAGTTCATGGCGGTGAGCAGCCCGATCAGGCGTGCATGGCAGCATCACCTCTGGTGCTGAGTTCCAGGTAGCACTTCCCTGGCTTTGTGCAGCCGGTGATGTCCTGGAGGGCGGCTTTCTGTAGGTGTTGTAGGTCAGCAGGGGCTTGGAGCACCCGATGAGGCATCAGTATGGGGACATACTGGAGACAGCATCTGCTTTTCTCTAGTTTTCTGATCTTCCAACCTCCCTTCAGACACTCAGCCCCAGCCCGAGCCCCCAGCCCTCCCCCCACCTGCCAGCAGGACATTAAGTTTGGCTTTAGTTTTGTGGTGGCCTCTGCTTGATGATGGTCTGGCCGCTGTAACTCAGACCTGCTCTGTTCCTGCTCTCTCTCACACGGTGTCCCAGCCACACTGGGCTCCTTTGTCTTAGAGCCTCTGTACTGTCCCCTTCTGCCAGGAGCGCCTTTCCCCAGCATCCATTTGGCTGATCCTGCCCTTCAGTCAAATCTTTGCTCCCTTATCTCCCTCCCAGGGAAAGCTACATTTGACATCACCCTCGGCGCTCCTGACCCGCCCATCCTGATCAGGCAGCTTTTCCATAGCTCTATCGCCTCCGACCTATTATGTAAGTCACTTATTGATCGAGTATATTGTTTGTTTATGTTTCCCTCTTGCTAGGACGTAAGCTCCTTAAGGGCTGGAGTTTTTGTTTCTTTGGGCCATTCATACCCCCGACAGGTGGCACGTGCCTGGCACAGAGTGGGCCCCAGTGAATATATGTAGGGTTAATGAAGGAATGGCGGGCCTGCCTCCCAGCTGGACCTCAGACTGGGCACCTGCAGCAGGAGGTCTTATGGGCATTGGGTCACAGCTTGGGACGAAGAGCCTGGAGGTAATCGGGACATTGCCTGTCTGCCACCTCCGCAGAGTCTTTGGTTGATCGGGAGAAGGAGGCTTTGATTTTGCTTCTGTTTTGCCTTCTAAGCGGCATGAGCTTGTTTCCTAATCTGTAAAATGGGGATAATAACAATACACAGGAGATCATGCCTCCCCCCCCGCCCCCCCCCGGGCTCTGGGAGTTGGGTGGTGGGGGAATGGCAGGGTCCTGGATTGGGTAGAAGCGGGAACAATTTCACCAGCAGAACCGGGACAGGGGCCCTCACCCTGACTGAAGCTGGGGCCTGGCCAGGAGAGGGCCTGGGACCCGGCTGGGAGTGATGTTCCCTGGGATACGGCCCGGCTCTGCCTCTGCAGTCTCTCTTCCCCCAGGAGCAGGTGGCTGGCCAGAGCGCTGAATGGAGACCGAGGTGCTCGGCTCTGAGCAGACCTGCTTCCCCCGGGGAGGTCCAGGGCAGCTGGCCCAAGAGCTGCTGGGTTGTTCTCAGCCCCCACCCCACCTGCCTCCTCCCTGCAGCCCCAGCCCTACAGAAGTGCTGGATTCTCCCTGTGACTGACAAAGAGCAGACCCCCGTCCCTGGCCCCTCACCTGGGACCACTTCGTGTCCCAGCAGTAGTCCTGGCTCAGTTACTCTCTGGACTCGGCGTTCTTCCGCCCGTGCAATGGAGGGGACAGTCCTGACCTTTCCCGGTGCCAGGATGAGGGGTGACGGATGTAGAGCGTTAACAGGCATGAGGGCACTGGGTGGTGACTCGCGTTGCCGTGTCATTGCCATTAGGTGACCTCTGTCCCAGCACCAGTGCCCTGGAACCCGCACTCCTGGTGTGCGTGTGGACAGGGCCCTGGGGTGAAGAGAGGGGTCTGGACATAAGGCTTGAGGAGCGGCACTGAACCCCAGAGACCCGCTGGGAACAGGCTGGGGAGGGTCAGAAGGAGGGATGGGCATGTCCCCTTTGGGGCCTTTAGCCTGGGCAAGGTGGTGCTCGGAGGAGGCACCAGCTTCCTGTCTACAGTCTCCGCCTCCCAGTGCCCACCCCCAACCCTCCACTGACATTGGGCTCTGCTGTGAGAGAGGCTGTCCGTGTCCCCATCCGTCCAGAAGCCAGGAAGGCACTGTGAGCCCTCCCCTATCTGACCTTCAGCCCTCCTGGCAAAGCCAAAGCTCCCTGGGAGGAGGAAGCAGAGAAGCAGAGGCATGGGCTGCTCCACGCCGGGGTGGCTGGGGCTAGGGGTCCAGTGCCTCCGCAGCCTGGCCCAGGGTGCCTCTGCCTGCCGCCACTCATCCCGCCAGGCTGCCCTCCACCCCTCACTCTCCTCTTCCTCAGCTGCACATTCTCTGCCTGGCGGTCCCCTCACTGGTCTCTCTCCCCCTCACGGGTCTGCTGCCCAACTTCGCATCTTTCTACGATGCAAACCTGACCTGGTCAGTCCCATCTCCAGTTCTGCAGTCGCTGCCCTTAGTGTCACTGGCTCTCGCCCAGCCAGTCAAGGCCTCCTTTGGTTGATGGCAGTGCCATTGTTTCCCACTGGCTTCCCTGGCCACAGGGACTCACGGTCTGTCCCCTGAGAAGGCAGCTTTCCACGTAGCTTTGCTCACCGAAGTCTGTCCCTGCAGCACCCCTCTTTCCCTCTGTGTGTGCCGAGTCCCCCAGCCCCAGCCTCGTGAAAAGGGTGCCTTCCACACAAAGCTTCCCTGCAGGGAAGCCGGGCCTCCCTGCCCTCCTGCCTTGTCTCGGCTTCTCGCGTAGATGGTCCACTGATAACGTGAGCACAGAGCGTTGTGAACACGCCTGACTCCCTTCGGAACAGAAAGAGAGCCCTGAAGGCAGGGACCACGGCTGCTTGGTCTCCAGCTCTCCATCATGCGCCTGACTCTCTCAGGTGCATGTGCCTGCGCTCAGATGTAAGCCAGGCACAGTGCCAGGTCTCTGCTGCAGACATTCTGCGTAACAAGCCTCCAAGCTCCCAGCGCCTTGTAGCATCTCTTTCTCTTGCCCATGGGCCTGGGGGCTGGCTGGATGGGCCTGGGGGCTGGCTGGATGGGCCTGGGGGCTGGCTGGGCCTGGGGGCTGGCTGCATGGCTCCGCTTCAGGCTGCAGGTCTAGGGGTGGCCCAGGCTCTCTTGGAATAGCCCAGCCTCCAAGCCACAGGTTGGCTTCAGGTCTGTGTCGTATGCCCACAACTGGGGACCAAGGCAGAAGGGGCAGTGGTTATCTGGAACAAGCTCTCCTTATGGCAAGCGAGCAGGAGAGTGAGTGTAAGCAGGCAGTATTTAAAAAACAAAACAAAAACAAAACAAAAAAAAAAAAAACAAGGCTTATTTAAGGCCACCAGTCACACTGCATCTACTAATTTCTACTGGTCAAAGCAAGCCTCCTCGTCAACTGAGCAGGGAGACCCACCCACCTACTCCAGTGAGACCCACTGCAAGGTCAGAACAAAGCACAGCTCTGTTCCAGGGAGGGAGGGAAGGACCAGGGACACACAAGCCCTGCCCGAAGCCTGTCCAGCCTCTGCAGGGGGGCAGGTGCCTGCAGGGCTGTCCATGCCTCTGTCTCTCTAGACCCTCTTCTCTCAGCAGACGAGCCAACCTCCCCCAAGAAGCCCAAGAGCGTCCCGCAGCCAGAGTCCGGCGATGTGGAAGGCGAAGCCACCTCTCCCCCGCCCTCCGAGTGGACCTCCGTGAGGATCAGCCCCGGGGAGGGCGTGGCTGGGCAGGACGTGCTGGCTGTGCGTGTCCTGGTCACCAGTGATGACGACAGCAGGTATGCTCAGGCCGCTGCAGGGTGAGGCAGGATGGGTTGGGAGAGTGACAGCATTCAGAAGCTGGTCCCCTCTCTTTTTACGTGCAGTATGACCTCCTCTGTAAAATGGGGACAATCATAGCACCTGTCTCATCGGGAGTTGTCAGATCAAAGAATTAATATGTAAATCACGTAGAGCAGCTCAAACTAGCTCAAGTGACAAAGGCAACCACGTTGGTCCATCTGAAGGAGAAGGTGAGGTTGGAGCCAGGGACCAAGAGCTGCTTGCCCATTGGGTACAGCATCCACCGAGAGGCCATCTCCATGGTGGGCCTCCTGGCTAGGCCTCTGCATTGGGCACCACCCACATCGCAGGCCCACCTCAGGGCTAACTGGTGAACAGGACCAGGAGGCCATGACCTGTGGGCTTGCGCAGTCAGGTGGATAGACAGTCTAGCAAAGCCCGCAGATGGATGAGGGGCAGTGAGCTAACGAGAAGAAGCACCCTGGGTGTCCATATAGACAGTAAATACATCTATTGCCTAATGTGTCACTGCCCAAGGGGCTGCACTCCTGCACTCTCTCACCCTGGGACCTGCCTGGGCTGTCCTCCATCTGCGGACACCTGCTTCCGTTCCCCTGCCATTTGACTTCCTGCTGGTCGTGTAAGACCCAGGTTCCATACAGCCACTTCCCACCCCAGGTAGTCCTTCCCATCCCCCACCCATTACCGGGGAGCAAGCAGTAGTCCGTATCTGAAGGTTTAGGACAAGCTCATTTTGCCCAGAGAGCTTACCAGCATGCCCAGGATGGGTGAGGGTGAGGGGACCAGCCTCCACGCCAGGACTTCACTGCACATTGGCTGGGCTTCTCCTCCTGCTCGGACCCACACCCGTGCCTGAGTCCATGGCTAAGGCTGCCATGAAGCAGCACAGCCTGGGTAGCTCAGATGACCAAGACTTAATCTCTCCGTTCCAGAGGCTGGGGGGTCCAAGGTCCAGGTGTTGGCAGAGTTGGCTCCTTCCGAGGGTGTGGGAGGGATCCAGGCTCCTCTCCTTAGTTCATATGCGGATGTTGATCCTGTTCTGGGGACATTTTTCTACCACGCCTGTCTGGGTCCTAATGTCCTCCTCTTGGAAAGGACACCAGTCCCATTGAATTAAGACCTAGCCTAATGTCCTGATGTTAACTTAATTACCTTTGTAGAGACCCTACCTCTAAATGCAGTCATGTTCCGTGCTAAGGGTTAGATGGCCTCTCGGTGGATGCTGTACCCAATGTGCAGCTCTGGGTCCCCGGTACTTAGTATGAATTTTGGGGAGCACAGTGCGACCCATAACAAAGCCTGAGGCTGGAGCGGGGTACAGAGAAAACTAACCATCCCCGCCACACACACCCTAGAACCCACGGTCTGCTGGAGGCAGTGGTGGGCAGGGCACGATGTGGGTTTGGGGGTGACTGGCAGGGCTCCCCAATCATCCGCTCTCTCTCCCCTCCCCCAGCTCTGATGCGGAGTTGAACTGCAGCAGCCACAGCAGCGAGGCCTCCAGCATGGAGCCCTGTGAGGAGAGATCCCAGCAGCCGGACCCCCCAACCCCGCTGGAGCCCCTCAGCCGCCACATCTGCCTGAGGGAGCCCCTCAGCCGCCACAGCTCCCTGAGGGAGCCCCCGAGCAGGGCCGCCTCTGCACAGGGCTCCGAGGAGCCCCAAGCTCTGCATGGTGAGCAGAGAGCCTGCCTGCCCAGGGACAGGCTTGCTGGGTCCTGGGACGGGGAAGGAGCAGAGAGCCCCACAGCCAGTTTTACCTGTGGAGGAGCCTGAGACAGGAGATACGACCCGCAGGCTCGGGAGGCAGTGGGGCTGGGACTTTGGGGGGCTATGGTGCATGTGCAGGTGACCCAGGCCCACCTCCTTCATCATAGGAATCTCACATAGGAAGGTGCAGGGGTCCAGCTGTCTCTGTGTGTCACAGGCAGCCAGAGAGAGGAGGCCCGGGCCCTCTTGCCTGCAGTAGTCTCCTTCTGCCTCCTTTGCATCTCCTTGGGGGCCCCCCAAGGAAGAGAGGTGGCCTCTGTGCAGCTACTTGGGGCCAGCACAGGGCCAGGGCCATGCTGGGACTTGTGGCACACAGCAAAACTACCTCCATAAGAATAGAGGCACTTTCATTGAGTGCCTGGAAGGCAGGGGTTTTCCCATACAGGGCCCCACTCACCCTTAGATGGCCCTGAGGTCATGTGAAGCCCAGTGTCCAGCTGAGCAAATGGCCTGACTGCCTCCTGAGGTCTACCAGCTAGTGAGCAGTGCAACCCCAAGAAGAAGTTGTCCTTAGAAGCCCAGGGTGTTGCAATAAAGGTGGCCTGGAATGAGTGGTTTGATTCCTCTGCCAGCAGCAAAGGGAGTCCTCTGGGTGGAAAGAACAGGCTAATAGAAACTTGCACCAGCGGGACCAATGGCCTTGGTGGCCCTGGGAGAACGGGAACTCTATTTGCCCTGCACTGCCCTCTGGTGGCTGTGAGCAGAATTGACACTGGAACCTAGAAATATTCTCCTAGGTAGGGATGGTTTCCCAGGAACCACTGTGAAAGTGGTGGATCAGAAAGACCTGTAAACTCTGAGGTTACCCTCCCATGTGAGCTTGTTTCTAAAAAGGACACATTTGCTGAGTACCCTTTGTGGTGCTGTCCAGAAAGGCTTAGCCCCTGCTGAGCAGCAAGTGCTGCGCTCTGCCCAGCTGGGTGCAGCCTGCCTCTGTCTGGGTACTGCCTGGCCTAGGTCAGCCCCCGTGTCTCCCTGGGCTCCAGCCTTCTCATCAAAAAATACAAAGCCTGCCCTTGCTGGTTTGGCTCAGTGGATACATCGTCGGCCTGCGGACTGAAAGATCCCAGGTTTAATTCTGGCCAAGGGCACATGCCTGGGTTGCGGGCTCAATCCCCAGTAGGGGGTGTGCAGGAGGCATTAATCAATGATTCTCATCATTGATGATTCTATCTCTCGCTCCCTCTTCCTTCCTCTCTGAAATCAATAAAGAAATATATTAAGAAAAAGGTTACATGGACACAGGAATTATAAGAATTTCCCTCTCAAAAAAACAAACAACAACAACAAAAAATGAACCCTGCTTGCCTTTCCCTCTTTCCCTCCATTTTTCCTTTCTCCTCAGTTACCAAGTGATTTTAGCCAACCTACCAGAATGATGTAACACAAAACTGTCTGTTTCTATACATGAGAGATAAAGCCTCGAGATCCGGGTTAACAAAACTAGATGAGGGGGTCGAGACCCCAGAGAGGATGATCATGGTCCTAAACAGTTGCTCTCATGGAATCGTGAATTTGATTCTGAATTTCCTGGCTGCACGAGTTAAAAAGGAAATAGATAATTTTTATTCACATTGTTCACGAGGGGAAAAAATATATTGGTTCACAGCAGTAGCAGGTCTCAGAGCAGGTACTACTTTCTCTAATGCTTCACTCTTTAGAAATTTCCCAGCTCATATCAAATATTAGGTCGGCAACTAAGTAACTGCGGATTTTTTAAAAATCAAAGACAATTTTTTCATGGAACTAAATAACTTTATTCTGTACTGTATTGCCCATTTTGATCAATGACCTTTTGCCATCTTTCAGGCAGCATCATAATCCCACGTTCAAGAAACTTCTGGTTTTTATTAGCAAAAAACTGAATCAGGTACAATTTGACATCATCATCATTATTGGAATTTTTACCATTCAAGGAGTTTTGTAAAGATCGAAACAAAAAGTAATCAGATGGTGCAAGGTCAGGACTATATGGTGGATGTGGCAAAACATCCCAACCAAGCTCCATTAATTTTTGCCGAGTGACCAAAGATGTGTGTGGCCTTGCATTGTCATGATGGAATACAACACCTTTTCGATTTGTCAATTCGGGCCGCTTTTCTTCAACTGCATTGTTTAATTTCGTTAGTTGTTCAATGTAGACATCAGAATTGATCGTTCGGTTGGGTGGTAAGAGTTCAAAGTAGACAATTCCTTTGTAATCCCACCAAACTGATAACAAAACCTTCTTTTGATGAATATCAGCTTTTGATGTTGTTTGAGTTGGTTCACCTGGCCTGCTCCACGATCTTTTCCGCTTGATATTGTTGTAAACAACCCATTTTTCATTGCCAGTTATCAGTCGTTTTAAAAATGGATCATTTTCATTACGTTTCTTTAGCAAATCGCAGCTGCTAATGCGTTGCGTTAACTGTGATTCTTTCAGTTCGTGAGGAACCCATGTATCGAGTTTTTGAACATAGCCAAGTTGTTTTAAGTGATTTTCAATGCATGTATGTGATACATGAAGCTACTCTGCAATCTCACGTGTTGTACTGTGACAGTCCGAATTGATTATTGCTTTGATTAGGGCGTCATCAACTTCAACTGGACGACCAGAGCGTTTTTCATCTTTGAGTGAAAAATCACCAGAACGAAATTTGGCAAACCAATTTTGACACTGCTGTTCTTTTAAGGCTTCGTCACCATAAACAGCACATAACTTTTTATGAGCTTGCGATGCGTTTTTCCCTTTGCGGAAATAAAAAAGCAAAATATGACGAAAATGTTCCTTTTGATTTTCCATTTTTCAACGAACGCCAAACGAAAACTACAAAACAGATCAAAAAACTTTTTTTACTGATTAACAGCTGAATAGCCAACTATCAAATAACAAAATGTGTTTTACATTTGTACTATGTCTGCAAACCTAAAAATTCAACTGAAGCCATATATGTGTGAAACCCGCAATTACTTACTTGCCGACCCAAGAGATGATCCTGAGAGAGGCATTAGATCATGTCTTAAGCAATGGCTCTGCAAAATAGGCAGCCACAGTTTTCTCGAGGCTATTTCACTCCGCCTCCCAGCAAGAGCGATTCTCCCCTGGGAGTGGTTGGGAGAACAAGGTAATGTGGCCAAAGCATTTTGTTTCTGACAGCCCCATTTCATGCCAGGATTAAGAATAGAATAGACAGAAAAGTGGCTAGCCTGCATGACTTTCAAGCAATCCTCTGTCGATTTCGTCTCCATCCACCCTGGTTTTGATCGTTGCTAGGCAAACCACATTGGCATGTGATTTGTGTTGCTGGTTGTGGCGAGTCTATCGCTTTTCTAGATATTGTAGCGTCGACATCATGTGGTGCGTGTTGAGGGAGCTTTATTAATCCCAACCTCACCTGAGTATGTGGTTCAGAGGCGAGCCAAGGAAACGCTGGACAAGACCAGGCGAAGCTTTAAAAAGAATCATGGGGTGTACGCCACACTGCTCATAGCACGTTATTCACGGTCGCCAAAAGGAAGAAGCGGCCCCATGGCCCAGGTGAATGGAGAAACCAAGTGTGCTGTCGCCACTTTGAAATGGCACTCAGCCTGAATACTGTGCAGCAACAGGAAGGAATACTGAAGTCATTACACTAAGTGAAAGAAGCCAGACACAGAAAGACAAGTATTGCATGAGTTACACTGCTAGGAGGTGCCAAGACTAGTCAAATTCATAGGCAGAAAGTAGAATGGTGCCTGCCAGGGGCCGGGGAAGAGGATGGGTGGGGTATTGTTGTGTAAGGGTAAAAGGCTGCAGTTTGGGGTGAGGAACAAGTTCTGGAGATGGGTGGTGGGGATGGTCGCACAACAGTAGGCATGTCCTTAACGCCACTAAACTCCACACTTCAAGATGACAAAAATGACAGTGTATCCGGATTATTATCATTGTTCATCTAAAAACACAAAACATAATCACTTTGGCAGGGTATGGAGTGTAGCTATTCTATAATAGCTTTATGATCCTGATGATTAAAAAAAAAAAAAAGATAATGTTGGATCTTCCAGGTTACAGTCACAATATTAAGATCAGTATTTAAAAGTGGGAAAGCATTAAAATATGAAGGACAAAATAATGGCAAACAGCGTTGTTGTATGTGGTGTACACTTTACCACAAATCGGGACGCCCTCAGCTCCCCAAGGAACCCATTGCCACCTCGGGGTTCTGGCCTGGAGCCAGAGGATGGTTTGCAATGGAACTTAAGCCCCCCATTATCGAGGCTGTAGAAAACGCTCAGTGCTGTTGTCCTAAAACCGTGGTCGGCAAACTGCGGCTCGCAAGTCACATGCGGCTCTTTGGCCCCTTGAGTGTGGCTCTTCCACAAAATACCACGGCCTGGGCGAGTCTATTTTGAAGAAGTGGTGTTCGAAGAAAGTTTACGATTAAAAAATTTGGCTCTTCAAAGAAATTTCAGTGGTTGTACTGTTGGTAGTTGGCTCTGTGGACTAATGTGTTTGCCGACCACCGGCCTAAGACACCTGGTGTTAGTAGTTCTCACAAATCTGGTTTCAAAGGCACATTTCTGCCCTCCCACCTGCAGAGGTTGAGGTTCAGTGGGTATAGAGTGGGGTCCGTGTCTGCATTTTATGTCAGCGCCCCAGATGCTCCCACACAGGAGGGCCGAGCCCAACCCATGGAGCTACTGAGCCACACGGTCAGGCTCCTCTGTTTCTTGAGTGAGCTGACTGGGAGGTTGATGCTGGTCAGCAGAAACTCCTTGTGGGGAGACTCCCAGCCTGGGAAACGCTGACCGGCACTTGGTGAGAGGAAGTGGACCCAGGCTGCAGGCAGACTGTTCATCTTACGAAGGGGAGATGGGGAGATTGCACCCCGTGCCTGCCCACACAGACCCCCCTCAGACCCAAGGGTGTGGTATGAATAGCCCTGTGGGATGGGGGCCCACCATTCGGAGGCGCAGGCTCACAGGGTCTCCAAGGGGAGCAGGGCGGGAGGGTACCCAGGACCAGAGGGGCTGTGCTGAGGGAAGGAAGCCCCCAGGCAGAGGTTGACGCCTGTGCTGTGCTGTGCAGCCTGGCTAGTGTGAGTGTCACCCAGCTCAGCACCAGCAGGAAGTGTGAGTGGAATCCAGGTCTTCACACAGAGAGACCGGGCTCTGGGCTCAGAGAGGCCTGCATTCGCTCCTTCCCCACACTCCTCACGAGCCCCATCACTCCCACGGCCTTTCTTCCATGCCTCCTGGACCCACCTGTGTGTGCATTCAGGCAGGCATCACCCCATCCTTTCTCTCAAGGCTGGGATGAAACTGCCCCTGGGACCTGGAGCCCGAGGCCACATCTGTGGGCCAGCCCCGTGTGGGATTTCTCTTCTGCAGGTGACGGTCATTGTGCTCGGCTAATCCTCACGGCCCAGTTGGGCGGAGGGTCCTCGGGGCACCATCCACAGCCTCCTGAAGTGTTTCCATTGGAACCGAGGCCAAGAGGACCTTCATGGCAATGGATTGCCAAAGGTTCCATTAGAACTACCTCCCAGAGGGTTCGCAGGGCTGTGAGGGGAAGGGGGAGTGGACAGAGCTCCCACAGCTTCCAGGTTGCATTGCTGTGAGACTTCAGCTCTGAGGAGCTGCTCTGCTAAAAACAAACGCACATACATGTGTGTATACAGTATGTGTATATGTGTATACATGTAGGCATACAAACATGTACACATATGTATGCTTGTTAATGATGGGCCACTTAGAACAATGGCTCACAATTTGAGGCATTTTCTAAAAGGTGGCAGGACTGTCCCATAGCAGTGTCTCCATAAATATTTGATAAATGAGTGAATGGGGGTGTGTGCTGGGTCAGGAGGGTGCAGTCAATTATGATCATTAGCCAATTCACTTTTGGTAAATGGCCGTAGAAGAACCCCCCCCCCACACACACACACACACTTTTGTTTACATGTTTAACAGACTCTTCCTCCCTTCCTACCCTGCCTGCCTTGCTTTTCCCCACTACAGCTCTGCAGCGGGCCAACAGCCTCCAGTCCCCAAGTCTCAGCAAATACCAGAGCTGGAGAAGAACGTGCCCGCCAAGTGAGTCATGGGCTCTCTGGGGCTGGGAGGGGGTGGGGATGGGGTGAGGGGGCCGAGAATTCTCTGATTGATTCTCAGGAGCAGCTGTCCTCATTCCCTACACAACCTCTGACCTGGCCTCCTGGATATGAGGGGCAAGGACAGAAATCGAAGGTTGACCCTATGTCCACTGATGACTTGAGGAAGCATTTCCTGAGGGATTTGGGACCCCTTTCCCATAGGCTCCCTGTTGTGGGGTCGAACCCTGGGTTCAAAATAAGACCACCAGAGGCTGATGATTGATTAAAAAAAGCAGGCAAGCATTTATTGAACTGGCCAGGATGGCTGCGAGAGCATGACACACAGGTGGCCACACTCACGACTGCACTGTTTCAGGTGTAGGCAATCCTTTTAAAGGTCCAAACCACAAGAATTTTCCTTTGTTCTAAATCCTAAATTCTAAAGGCTGGGGACGGCCCACAGGGTCATTCCCAGCCACATCCTGCTGGACGTTGGAATGTGGCCCTATCTTGCGACAGCAGATAGTACAGAAGCAGACCTGAGCGGTTAATCTCTAAAGGTTATCTGCAGTTTCTACTCCTGAAGCTAATGAGTCCGTGAGAATCAATCTCCTGTGGTCCTGGTCCACAGGCACAGGAAAACTGCCTTAGCCTCCAGGTCTCCATCTGGAAGCTGAGGCAGCTCCCCTATTGTTTAAGCAAGTAAGCGAGTGCCGAAGCCAGAATAGCAGGGTTAAAATTCAAACAGCAGTTTTTACCCAAGTATGGTTGCTACCATATTTCACTCCCGAGTCCAGAGTCACAGAGCCAGAGGACTCAGTCACACTTGGAAGGGGCCTTATGACATCAGCTCAAACTTTTTGAAACAAGGACGAGGACACAGAGGCCCAGGGTCACCATATGTTTTGACTCAGCGCCCTGGAGTTGGGCTGGGGGCATCAGTTTAAGTTCATGCAGTCAGGGGCAATACAATGAGGGAAGCCATGCATACACACACACCCTGTCCTTTTTTTGAGCAGGCCGTGATCCTCGCATCCCAGGGAAGAGCAGGGTGGGTAGGGACCAGGGCCTGTGGTGGATGCCAAGGCAGCAGGCTCTCACTAGGAGGCGCAGGTACCACATACAATTGCACAGCATCCCAGGGCTGCAGCTATTACGGAACTGCAATCCCCTCTCCGCGCCTGAGAGAGGGGCAGGAACTCTTCTGATTCCAAGTTCATCCCTGCTTCCCACCCCTTCCTGCCCCGACACACCCTCGCTGGGCCTTGCTCTAGTAGAGACGGAACCTGGAAAGCCTTGGGTTAGACAAGAGTTTCTAAAAATGAAGCATTGCTGCAGTTGGAACATAGTGCTCCTTCTGAGTCAGTGCCGACTCCTGGCCAGTGAGTCATTCTCCCAGCAGCCCCCAGCCCTGCAGCCTCTCCCTCGGGTCAGGCTGGGACATGGGTGCCACTGGATCTGGGTCAGGGCTGCACACCTGGGCAGGGCACTTCACCTGGGACGACCCAAAGTAACTCTTGAGTCACCCCACAGCCCCAGGCAAGTGAGTGTGAGGGGAAGGAGCCAGTTACTGTTTAGGGAAGCCCTGGCCCAGGCCTTTTCCACAGGCATCGCATTTACTCCTCCACCACAACCCCTCTCTGGCGTGGGACCTCTGCCTCCATGGGTGGGCCTGTTTGAGTGAAGATTCCATCCCAGTGCTTCCCGTCTACTGTACTGAGTGCCACCAGTGAAGGGGTTATCCTGAGAGCTGGGAGTCTGGTGGGGGCCCTCCCAGCAGGGCCAGGCTGCTGAAGGAGGCACAGCCTGGAGACCTCAGCCCTGTCTTTTGTAATCCCAGTGATAGCAGGTCTGGGTAATGCTGATTGAGAGCAGGCCTGGAGTTCAAATCATTTCTGTGGGCCTAGTGCTTAGCATGAGCCTGGCTCAAAGGAGGCACAAAGTCTTCCTTGAATGAATGAATGAATGAACGAACTTATGAATGAAGAGTGAACAAATGAATGACCAAACCAGGGAACAAGCAGGCAGGACCAAGGGCAGGAACAAATGAAACACATGGGTTTAGGCCTGTTCATGCTGCCACGCCTAGAGGGCGCTCCAAGACTTTGGGAGGTTTTGAGCCAAAGCTGCACCCTGCAGTCCCAGTCTTTTTAAAAATCCCCAGAGCCAAAAGCCACTAGAGCTATCTTTTAGGTCATTTTCATTTTGCCCAGGAGGAAACACCAACGGGCAAGGCTGGTTCTATCGGAGGGAGCAGAATATGAGGCACCACCTCCTCTGTCCACTCACTGCCCCGGAAAGGCTGGTTCTGTGTGCTTGCGCTTGGCACCCCCCCCCCCCCCCCCCACCGCTACCGCCAGCTGGCCATGTTCACCAGAATGACCACTGGGATCAAGGGGAAAGGTCATCAATGCCAGAGGGCCCAGAGGCAAGGCACTGGTCCAAGCGGGAGGTGGGGCTGTAATCCAGGCTCATCAAACCCTTTTGCAAGGGAGCTGAGGCCCCTGCACAGGGCAGGGTAGCCCTGCCTGGGCCATGCCAGGTGTTCATGAGAAGCAAGGGTCAGCAGGAAGGATCTGAGCTGATGAGGAGAGTGACGGGGTTCCGTGAGAGTGTGCAGCCCCCTCTGGGATAGGTTAGCGGTTCAGCGGTGTTCTTATCGGACACCACCCATGTGCACGGGGAGAGGGATGGGATTCCTAGTTCTGTGTGATGTTTGCCTCCTGCACTAGGCACCTCTTTTTATCTCATTTAATTCCTTCCGCCTTCCCTGACACAGCAATAGATTTCTGGAGGAAACTGAGGGTTTTAAGAGACTTGCTCAGTGACAGGCAGCTGGTGTGGATGTAAAGGAGGTGGGGCTCCTTGCCGTTTTCTGAGGGAGCCCCAAGACACCAGCCCCCTGGAGCAGTGCATTCCCTGTCACCTCCAGCTCTGCTCTGGCCTCAATCCCTGGCCCCCAGGCAGCAGCTGGAATGGCCGGTGCTTTGTTAACTCCACCTTGTCTAGCCCTCCCCAGCCCTCCCCATGCTCCCCTGCAGACAGTGCCTGAGGAACGTGTGCAGTGAGAGACCCCACTCGCTGGGATGAGGGTGGGGATTAGAGGGGAAAAAAGAGGGAGCAGCTCCCAGGTCATGACCTTGTGAACCCCAAGCTTTCTCAACAGCCAAGCCCAGTTGTCCCTGGCTCTGTGTCAGAAGGTGCCGGGAGAGCTCCCCGGGGGAACAAAAGGCAGTGTGTTGAGCCGCGGGGACGCTGAGACAAGTTTGGGAGTTAGACTCAGGAGGTGGCAGAGGGAGGAGAATGAGGGGGCAAGGAAGAGGAGGAGAAGGAATTTGGCAGGAATTTGGCAAGCAGAGCCCAGGAAACAAGGCAACAACTGACTCACAGCTTTTGCCTTTTTAGGCTCGAACCATCTGCGGGCTGGGATGGAGGTCCGTGGGCCGAGGTGGGGGGCTGAGTAAGAGGCTAGTGGCAGCCTCCCCCGCACAATTCCCAGCAGCCAGGGGTCTCTCTCCCCAGCAGCTCCTTCCCGACACCTCAGCTCTGTTCCCCCAAGTGACCTTTGCCCTGATGCTTCTGGGGCTTCCCTTTGGGCACTCGCTGGCCACGCGTGTGGGCTGGCACCTTCTCGGCACCCAGGCCTGGGGTGCGGCTCTGACAGGCTTGCAGTTAGTTGCGTGTGAGGAGAGCAGGGGGGATGCTGAGCCCCCTGTGTGGTCCGGTGACAATGGTCTTAAAGGAACGCTTCCTCGCTCAGGACTTGTGTTCGGCCTAGTCTGGGTAGTCCCAGAGGAGGAGCCTCTTGCCCAAAACTTTGGGGACAGCGAGGCTGGGGACTGTGCTGAGTTAGGAAGCGAGCTGAAATGGAAGTCTGGACACCGGAGGGTCCGCAGGAGCCCACAGGAGTGGGTAGTGGAAACAGTGGTCCTGGGAGGAGGGTTCGAGGAAGAGCTGGCCAGGCCCCCAGGTCAGGGGCTGAGTGGGGAAGTCAGAAACAGCACAGATTTTTCTAAGCCCCTTGGAGGGCAGATTACTGAGATGGCTCAATATGGAAACAGAATGCTTGCAGTTCTAGATTGCAGGTTCCTAGGGTGTTTGTGTGTGAGAGTGTGTGTGAGTGTACGTGTGTGTTAGTGTGTGCATGTAAGCGTGTGTGAGTGTATGTATTTGTATGTGTGTAAGAGAGTGTGTGTGAGTGTATGTGTTTGGGTGTGTGTGTGTGTGTGTGAGTGTGTGCGCGCACATGTGAGCCTGTGTGCACTCACGAGAAAGTGAGAGGGAATGGGACTGACCTCAGGCTACAGCTGTCAGATTCTGCTATCCAGTCCTAAATGACGTCAGCTCCCACAGTTCAGAGTTAGGCTGGGCCTGGGCTGCACTCCTTCCTCCTGTTGCTCTGAGGTGTCCCCTGCAGGGACCTGTCCCTGACCAACGGGCTTGGCACGAACTCACTCCACGTGCTTCCAATGAGCCGATGCTCAGATAACCGCCTTCCCTCTGTCTCTTAAACCTCGGGCTAACCACGTCCTCCGAGAGCCGCCGGCGCAGGGGGAGAGAGAGCACTTCATTGGCAGTGTCCCTGCTGGCCTTTGCCCAGCGATGGCCCCGCCGGCCTGCGCCCAGCCCATGGCCCCGCCGGCCTGCGCCCAGCCGATGGCCCCGCCGGCCTGCGCCCAGCCCATGGCCCCGCCGGCCTGCTCCCAGCCGATGGCCCCGCCGGCCTGCGCCCAGCCGATGGTCCTGCCGGCCTGCGCCCAGCCGATGGCCCCGCCGGCCTGCGCCCAGCCCATGGCCCCGCCGGCCTGCGCCCAGCCCATGGCCCCGCCGGCCTGTGTCCAGCCGATGGTCCTGCCGGCCTGTGCCCAGCAGATGGGCCACACTGAGTGGGCAGAGGCTTCAGGCCATTTGTTGACTGAGCCCCGGCCTCCAGCCATGTGGCTTAGGGGAACCTTAGCTGCTGTGCCCCTTTCTAAGAAACACCCGGGCTTCCTGTCTCATTTCGAGGGAGTATTCTTACGTGGATGGGAAGCGCACGGTTCTTAGGCTCCCCTCCCGGAAACCCCTTCTCCAAGGTGCTGCCACTTCTACCCCCCGTCCCTCCAAGCCCCAGTCCGGGGCATCAGGGCCCAGATCATCCCTGACGTCCTCCTCCATCTGCATTTGCAGCAGTGGGGCGGTGTCCAGCCTTCTAGGTCCATGAGGACATGAGGCCGAAGCCCCTGTAACAGAGAGCGCCGTCTTTCCTTCTAGGTTCCACGCCGGTGAGCTATGCGAGAATTGTGCCGCCTCCACAGGACGCGTCCCCTTCCGCTTCTGCTTCCTCCTTGTCTTCTGCCTCCTCCTCCCCCGCGTCCTCCGCAGACAGTGTCCCAGGCTACGTTCTGAGAGGTCCCCCCTCACCTCAGGTAAGGAGCCTGAGCTGCCTCTTCTCCTCCCACTTCCACACTGAGCGCCTTCAGGGCACCTGCACCCCGAGCCAGGCCCCCTCCCGAGTCCCTTCCATAGAAGCTCACCTGCTGCTTCTCAGCCACCCCCTCCCACACACACACACACCCCACCCTGGGCACAGCCACTGGCCTGCTCACTCAGCAAGCCTTACGGGGTGTGGGCCCGGGCTGGGCTGTGGGGCAGAAATGCTAGGACACATGCTGGGCCCTGGAGGCCCCCCGGGTGCTGAGGAGCTGGCAGCTGCAGGGGCAGGCACAGCCCCTAGGGTTCCCTGGGGAAGGAACTGAGAACCTTGGAGGCAGCATTTCCCTGGACTCGAAAATGACGTCACCAAAATCACAGGTTTGGACTCATTCCTTCGCCAGGAGTCTGTCCGTCTGTCAGGCCTCTTGACCTGCCAGGCCCGCTCCAGGCCCCGGGGACGAGAGAGCATGGGACAGCCAGACACGGGAGCTTGTGGAGCTGCTCTGTGTGCCCTGCCCTCGGCCAGAGCTCTTGGCAGGGCAGGCACAGCCCTCCTTGGCACCCCCTCCCCCCTTGGTGGTCTCCCTTTGCCAAGGGCTCCAGCCCTGCCTGTTGGAAACAGCCCCTTTCCCAGTCCCCCCCAGGCAAGCCTCAGGCTTAGAGAAGGCACTGGGAGGTCCTCACGGCCATCCTGCCCCATGGCCACCCCAGAAGGTTAGGTCTCCCCTTCCTTCAGGAGGCGCCACGCTGAGGAAAAAGCCTTGGTTTCAGGAACACACCTGTGGGTGGAAAGTACCCCTTAGTAGGGACATGACTGAGCAAGCTATGGTGCACCCTGCCCCTCTGTGCCCCACCGCCCTCCCATCATGGGCTCAGGAGCCGGGCAATGCCCACGCCTCTCCATTGGCTTCCTACCCACCTGACCTAAGACCCAGAAAAGCCTTTGGGCCGAGCTGACCCAGGGCCCCCCGGCAGAGCCCAGCAGGCCCCGGGTAGCCATCTGAGCCAAGAGCTGCCCTCGGAAATCAGCCATTGCAGGCAGAATCCTTTTCCACTGGAGACGGGAGGGAGGGGGCCCTCGCCTGAGGTGTGCCTTCCCCATCTACACACATGCTGGCAATCTTTGACATCACGGCTGTGTTTTGCCCCGCAGGCCTCAAGAGCTCATTTCAGCCCTTCCACCCCGATCGTTCTGAGGCGAGCCAGAGCCCAGGCAGCACCCAGCGAAATCCCTCTCTACCTGCCGCACGGCCAGGTGCTGGGGCGGCCAGAGCGCTGCCTGGTGAGGCCGGGGGGAGAGGGCCTCGCCAGCCCCAGGCCCCCCAGCCCTGCAGCGGTGGCTTCCGATGGCTCTCAGGATGCCAGCGGCATCCACAGAGGCCCACACCCCATTGGAGGGCAGGGCAGGTGCTCGCCAGACCAGGAGCTGTCTCCTAGGGCTGCGGAGGGCTGGGGACAAGGGTATCCGGACTCCCAGACCCGGACGGGAGAGGACGGTGGGTCCGAGCCAGCCGAGGGGAAGAAGCCGGGCTTGAAGAAGCTGGCTCTCACCCAGGAGCAGAAGAGCCAGCTGCTGGATTGGAATGACTCCCACCCCCAGAGCTCGCGCCTGGACACTGGGCCGCAGCCTTCCCAGAACGGTGCCCAGCATGGCAGAGGCGGCCGTGTGCTGAAGCCAGTCCGCCCCTTGGTGCTCCCGGGGAGAGAGAGCCTGCCCGCTCAGGCAGAGGCTCCGGAGAAGAGGGGGACCCCCGCTGGAAGGACTTCAGGGGAGCAAAGCGTGGCTCCACCCAAGTCCCCACTGAGACTCATTGCCAACGCCCTCCGAAGGTCCTTCCAGGCCCTCTCCCACCCGGAAGGCGGGAGGAAGGCTTTGCCTGCCAGCCAGCCGCAAGCTTGCACGCGCTCCTTCAGCCTCCGGAAACCCAGCGGCCACAAAGACTGGAACCAGCCGTCCCCCGGGAGAGACATGGCCAGCAGGGCCTCTGCCTTCTTCTCCCTGAGCAGCCCGCCGGTCAGGGCCGCCCAGCCCCCCACCCCTGGCCTTCCCGACCCTGCCCTCTGCACCCACAGCTTGCCCAGCGGGCCCTCCAGGAGGTCCCCTGCGTTGGCATCCCCACCCTGCAGCAAGATGGACGATGTCCCCAAACTCCTGGAGAAAGTGAGCTTGCAAGAGACCTTTCCAGATGCTTCCAGGAGTCCAAAGAGAAAAATCTTCTCCTCCCTCAGACTCAAAGACAGATCGTCGGAGAGTTCTCTCCAAGAATCCAGGCTAAGAAAGGACTTCCGTGACATCTTCAGCATCCCCAAGGGGAAGGTGCAGCCTGTGGACAGTGCGCGGCTGGGGCAGAGGGCCGGCCCTCCTTCTCCAGAGCGAGATGCAAGTAAGTGGCCCTTTCCCAGCACAGGTCCACGGCTCATGCCAGGCAGTTAGTTATCGTTACTGGGTTCAGAAACAGCATCTTTTACCTCGTGTTGCTCCTCAGATTAAAGTCTGACAAAAGTGGGAAACTGAAATTTGAAAAAAAAAAAGTGAAACAGTTCAGTTTGAAATTATGTTACAGAAAGTTTTGAAAGAGAGAGTTAACCATCAGTTCACCACTTTCCCCTTGTTGTCCACATATGAATATTTTTTACTAAGTTGGACATAAAATTTGGTGCCTTTGTAAATCAACATTATGGTATAGGTACTAAGCCAATTGCCTCATCATCTACATAAATGTGATTTAGGGGCTATAAAATATTCTATCTAGTGGCTATGTTACTTAATGAACTGATTCTTTATGGTTTAACTTAAAGACACATATGTATGTATAAATTATATATATATATTTATATTTTATATATGGTCTTGGGTAGACATTTTTATGCATATAGCTTTTTCATTCATTTGAATTATTTTTTTAGGAGAGGTTCCAAGAAATGGGATTTTTGGATGAAAATGTGAATACTTTTAAGATTCCCCGCTTGCACTGACAAATTGCTCTTTAAAAGAGAACCTATGGGTAAAGGATGCATGGACTCTCTCTCTGTTATTTCTTACAATTGTGGGTTGTAAATTTCAATTGAAACATGGGAAAGGTACCAACTTATATTCCACCACTAATGTATGAAAGTACCTTTTCACTACACTCTGCATCAAGTATTATATATTTTAAATACTGCTATTTCACTGGTCCAAAAATGGTGCCTCAAAATACTATTGAATGGAAACTATAACTGAAAAATTATTTTCTTAATGGTGCCTTTTAAACTTGTATTTCTTCTTATCACTAGTTTAAACATGTTTGGTTACCAATTGAACCTTAGGCTTTTTAGATTTAAATCTGTTTATAATTTTTCAAATTATAAAATTAATACATTAAATAATCTGAATAATTAAACAGTATAGGAATATCTTAAAAACAAAACCAGGAACATATTATCTCATCCCCTCTTCTTCACCAAAGTTTTGGTGTATATCTTTAGAGACAGTTTAAAGAGTCACATGGTTTCTGTTTTTGTTGTTGATATTTGTTTGATTGCTTTAAACAAACTGATTCTACTATTCCTATTGTTGAGCAACTTTATTTTTCTTTATTTTTTGATGTTTTATTTTCTTATTTAACTCTTATTTGGGAACTTAGGTTTTCAAGCAAAAAATTATTTCGCTCGTGTAGTGCCTTAGTCAAAAAGTGTGTCTCCATAAAATGTACTTTGAATAATTATAAAGTCATTTCATTTTCAAAATTGAGCTAGCAGCTATTAAAGTGTGTACATTTTTGATACACCATGTAGATTAACAAGAGAGTTTATTTTCAGCCAAGCTCAGATGTAAGCATGGATAGGCTGAAATATAACTTCTCCCTTTTATCCCATCATAAACTTTAATGTGCTGTGCATTTTTGTGTAGAAAATACACAAGATTCACATGGTTCAAAATAGCAGGCACAGAATGTCCTATCTCCCTTCCCTGTCCTGGAGCCATCAGGACCTACCCCTAGTGACAGATGCTATTATCAGGCTTCCTTTCAGACAGAATTTATGAACACACAAGCAAATGTACATATTATATCCCCCCCCCCCCCCAAAGAGTAGCATGCTAGGACATTGTACACACACTTTTTTTTTTTTTTTGTACTTTTGGTTTTATTTTGGAGGTCATTCCATATCCTAACATATAAAAAGCCAGGGGCCATCATGACCAAAACAACCAGATGGACAACCAAACAACAGGCTGTGTGTGGCGACAAGGCCAGCAGGGGGGTTAGTGAGGGACGACCAAACAACTTAACAGCAGGCTGCATGGGTGACCAGGCTGGCAAAGGGGGAAAGTTAGGGGTGATCAGGCAGGCAGACAGGTGATTAGGAGCCAGTGGTCCCAGATTGTGAGAGGGATGTCCGACTGATGGGGATCAGGCCTAAACCAACAGTCAGACATCCTCCAAGGAGTCCTAGATTGGAGAGGTTGCAGGCTGAGCTAAGAGGACCCCACCCCTGTGCATGAATTTCATGCACCGGACCTCTAGTTAGTACATAAAGAGCTTTGTTTTATAGCTACATGGTATTCCATTATGCACATACATCATAATTTATGGAGTCAGTCCCCCATGATGGAAAGTTTAAGTCATTTCAAGACTTGTGCTATTGCAAACAGTGCACAATAATTAAGAACTTAGGTCATTTGGCACATGCATGAGTTTATCCGCAGGATAAATTCCTGGAAATGGAAATGTTGGAACAAGGACATGTGAATTGAAAATTTTGATAAATATTGCCAAGTTGTCCTCCATCAAAGGGGTGTCAGTTCACCCTCCCAGTGCCAAAGTATGAGAGTGCTCTTTCTATACTGGCACTAAACTGGTTGTTACCCAATCCTCCACGCCCCTCCCTTTTTAATTTATTTTTTTTAAATCTTTACCAATCTGATTGAGCATCTTTTCATAATCATTTATATTTCATTTTCTGTGAACTATTGTTTCTGTTCTTTATCTAAGGGTTGTTGGTATTTTTCTTAAGGATATGTGGGGACTCTAGTAGATAGAAAATTTAGCCTTTTGAATTACAAATGCTTTTCCCAGTTTCTTGGTAGTGTTTAACTTTGTTTATGATGGTTTTGTCATATAAAATTTTTATTTTTATATAGTAGTAGTAAGCAATTTCTCACTTTCTGGCTTTTGGGCTTTATATAATAGTTCAGAAAAAGCTTCATCTAAGTTTACAGAGGAATTTTCTTACAGTTTCTTTTAGTTTTTTTGTTTTTACATTTTTTACATTTACATATTTATATTTTCTTCTTAGTATGAAATATGAAATATGGATCCAACCTTATTTCTTTTAGATGTCTTCTTGGTTACCTTAAAATAATTTAGTGAATAATTCATCTTTTTCCTCTCTTCTGTGAGATGACATCTTTATCATATATCAAATTCCTGTACTTGGACTGATTTCCACACTATTTATTATATTTTATTGAGTTGTCTGTTATGTGTCAGTACCACACTGTTTTAATTACATATATATATATATATATATATATATATATATATATATATATATATATGTATTATACTATCAGGTAGAAAGAATATTCCACTAGTGATCTCTTTTAAACATTGTCTGGCTCTTCTTGCTTCTATGTTCTATCTGAATTTAGCATCAGTTTATCTATGTTTAGTTTCCCACAAAAAAAAAAAAAAAATCCTACAAGTGCTTTTATGGATTGAGTTAAGTTCACAAACTAACTTAAAAGAATTTACAACCTTATGCTATGAATTGACTTATTTTTATTTGTTCATATCTTTTATTGTGATTCTCAAGGGCATTCTAAACTTTATGTCAAATACCTTTTGGATATTTGTTGTTAAGTTTATTATTAGACTAGAGGCCTGATGCATAGAATTCGTGCAAGGGGCCCAGACCTCGCAGCTCCAGCCAGCCCTCACTGCCCCTGCTTTATCCAGAAGGTTCTCCGGAAGGTCATCCAGATGGCCGTTCTGATGTTAGGTCTAATTAGCATATTATCTCTTTACTATATAGGATATTTAGATATTAGATGTTTAGTTTTTGTTGCTATTGTAAATAAAATATTTCCATTTTATCTTGCTATTCTTGGTTATGTATATATAATTTATTGATTTTTGTATAGTTGTTTTTTACCCATCCATTTTATTGAATTATCTTTGCTTTTAGAAATCTTACAGTGAGTTCTGGGCCTTCCCCAAAATATATTATACAGTTATAGTATGTACAAATAATGATCATTTTATTGCTTGTTTTAGAAGTTCTGTACCTCTAATTTATTTTGTTTCCTTAGTTTATTTGGTTCCCCAAATCTCCAGAAACAATATTAAATAAAAAGTGTGATGATGGCCCAGCCAGTGTGGCTCAGTGGCTGAGCGTTGTCTCATGAACCAGGAGGTCACAATTTGATTCCTAGTCAGTTACATGCCCAGGTTGTGGGCTCAAACCCCAGTAGGGGGCATGCTGGAGACAGCCGATTGATGATTATCTCTCACCATTGATGTTTCTATCTCTCTCCCCTTTCTCTGAAATGAATAAAAACATATTTTTTTAAAAAAATAGTGATAATGGTTTCCTTATTACATTTCTAACTTTAATGAGAAGGCGTCTCATTAATGAAAATAATGTTTTCCCATTTAAGCATTATGCTGGCTCCTGGATTGACCCAGATATATTTAATCATTTCAAGGAAATAACTAACTAATTATATTTTATTAAAAGTACAGTTGACCCTTGAATAATGTTTGAACTGAATAGGTTCAGTTATATGCAGATTTTTTGTTAATTGACCTAAGGAGTTCAAACCCATGTTGTTCAAGAGTCAACTGGTGAATGGTAATTCAAATATTTGGAGGACCTACTTAAGTTATGTGCCAAATTTCCATAGCATAGGAAGATGGTGGATGCCCCTAACAGAGTCAACACTAGTTTTCATCTCAAATGGATATTGAATTTTAGCAAATATTATTTTAGTACCTTTTAAGATGATTGTGTACATTTGTTCTTTCTAGTTGGATTACTATGAATGACATAATACATTAAATTGCTGAAACAAATACCACTTGCATGATGTTTTATTATTTTAATATATCTTTGTTCTGTTTCCTGATGTTTTATCAAATTCATAGATATGATTAGCCTTTAGTTCATACCTATATAATTTCCGTATATGCTGATTATAATAAGTTGAGGTAAATGTGTTTTCCTGAGTTAGTAATGGACAGCCACATTTGTTTATATTCACCAGGAAACCATGCCACTTTTTTTGCTTGGAACAGAATGGGAATATAGAGAATGAAATTAACTTAAGGCTGACCAGCTCTGGAAGTGGTGCCTGGTCCCATCTCATAAAAAAATCTTTGCATTTCCCTCAGATGATTTT